TGATATTAAATCTGGGCGACGAAGAAATCTCGCTGCAGCATATTCACTTTTAATAGTGATTTGAGCGATGTTCCTCATCTCCCTAAATTAAGGCCTTCTTGTATCTATCGCGTATCATTGTAGTCACTGAAGTGATGCAATTGAATAGTTAATTAATGGTGTAATTCTAGCCTAGCTAACTAGTAATTCACCATTGTCTGTGAACACGGACTGATCGCTGCCCATGAAACTCCCCATGCTTACTATCACAGACTTCGATGAGCTTATTTCGGCGCTCGCAATTACCCTGGGATGGAGGAGGACACCAGCTTCAAGAGCCTTTTCCTCCGAAACCTCCATCCTATTGTAAGTCACCATTTAGGCATTATGGCCTGCCGCACAATGCCTATTCAACAACTGTGGGATCTGACACAGAAGGCCTTTAACAAGCACAAGGCCTCCACTAAAGGGGATGATTTTATGTAGAAAACAGTAAATCACAAAAAAATAAGTAGAACATTCTGTGAAAATATAACCTTTATATCTTTAATATTGGCTGAGTAAGGCCATGTCAAAGATTGAAATCATAGTGAAATTAATGGTTGAAATCAAACTTTGATGCTTGTTATCTCATAATTAGATTTTCAGACTTTAGCCTGGATTTCACAGACAGGGTCACAATTTAATTCAGTGATGTTCTACAGTGTTGTAGGCATCCTCATTCTGCAAACACCACGGTATGTCCAACAGCAGTCCACCACAACATCCTCCTCCACACCCTTCACACCGGTGCCGAACGGATGCTGCACACTCTTCTGAGTTACAGGAGCTGCTGACACTAGCAAAAGAGCTCCTTGAACAAAACTCAACTGAGGAGTGCTGGGAAGGACAAACTTCTGACACCTGGCCTGACGCAATACAGCATCAGACCCCTCCAAAGGGAGGAGCATCCCTTAAAACCGGCCGACACCCCACAAACAAACCACACACAACTTAAAATAAGCGCAGACAACAGGCAACTCTCAACCAGTAACTAAATGTCAGCTAAACTTCTGAGATTTGCGCTATATGTGAGAGGAAGGTTTGTTAGAATCATTTGTGGAACCAAAAGATTATATGGATGAAATAAAAGTTCCTCGATTCGACTGCAGGCATCATAGTAATGATGTAGCTTATAACGATGTACGGTATTTACAGAATAAATGTCATACTGAAGATAGCCCACAATATGTCGAAAAACATTCTGATATTTTCTGATTGTTTGTTTTTCTTATTAGAACATAATTTTTCCACAGTTTTTTTAATATACATTTTTAACAAGTAAAAATATTTATCTTTATCATAATACTTGTATAATATTGTGTAACATTATAATATTTATCAACACCAATTGTGCTGTTGCATCATATTTTTGTTGTCAGTCCTCTGATTCCTAAATAAACAAGAAAGGTGTGAATATGTGTTGGGCAGAGTGATGCTCACATGGAGCTCAATTAAATGATTATAATGAAACCATTTACAAATGCTTGCAAAAACATTAATAATCATCAAAATACACAGCTATTTTTAATCACTAGAGAAAGAAACTAGAGAAAATTAATGCTGTGTGCTATTTACAGAATAAATACTGAAGATCTCTAGCTGGTTACAGTGGCCTACTTTTAATTGCACTACAGAACATGAACCAGTCTTCATGTACCTGCCATAAAACATGTAAAGCAAGAATAAGTAAAGGAGTCGACACGCTGTGAAACGTCACAATGCATTTAATGCAGCTTTCATGCAGCGTAAAGTGATCACATGCTAGATACGAAAACTGAAGCAGAGCAGAATATAGATCCTCCCGCACACGCACAGCATTTAAGCCAGACATAAAACTCTTACACATCGGTTCACCATAAAAATATCATTAAGATTTATGCATATATTGATTAAAAAAATGGAGGCTGACGTTGAAATAAAAATGGAGGTAATAAATGCGCTCTGAAGTCTCTTCTGGTCCTGAGGTCACTGTGGTTTCTGATGAGTCCATGAAAACATGTACAAAAGAGATCAAACACGTAAAACACTGAAGAAGACGTTAAAGTCCCCGGCGTCACACGCAGGACTGTGTTTGCCTTTAGTGTGAGTCGCTCGATGAGGTTTGTGTGTTTATGAGGTTTTCTGAGTTGAAGAGGCGTCGCGACACGCCACACACCGCTCGCAAGAGCGAGAGTGTGTGTGTGTGTGTGTGTGGTGTGTGTGTGTGAGAGAGTGTGTGTGTGTGAGTGTGAGTGAGAGAGTGTGTGTGTGAGAGAGAGAGTGTGTGTGTGTTAAAGCTCCTGGGATTCAATCTGATTGTTTCTCCTCTCTTCAGTCGTCCCTGTCTCTAGGAGGCGGAGCCGGGTCCGCTGGCCCCGCCCTGCTGCAGGTGATTGGTGGGTGGTTTGGCGGGCGTGTGGTGCTGCAGGGCGTGTCTCTCGAGCAGCGTGCGGTGGGTGAAGGCGCGGTGGCAGACGCCGCAGGTGAAGGTGCGCTCCACACGGTGTGTGCGCATGTGAACGTTCAGAGAGCTCTTCTGCGTGAAGCGCTTGCTGCAGACGGAGCACTGGAACGCACGCACACCTGTGTGCACCACCATGTGCTTCAGCAGATAGTCACGCAGAGAGAAGGAGCGCCAGCAGATGCTGCACTGATGCGGCTTCTGACCTGCACACACACACACACACACATACAGAATTGATGTTGAATGTGTTGAAATTCTGCACCAAAGTGATGATATCCCAGATCATTATCTAGTCTACACACACTCTCTCACACACACACACACGCGCACACACACACACACACACGGGCATCATTTACTCTGGACACACATGAACACACTTCATGTTCAGTCTTTACATTCTTCATACACATGCTGAACCTGCAGCAGGTTTAACACACTGCAGATGTGTAGTACAAGGGCACTGGTTTAGTAATGCTGGCGGCCCAGATGGCAGCTAATTAGATCTGATTCAGAAAAAAATCAATTCAGCAGTTTACTCGAGTGTCTGTGTGACCTGTGCTACACAGAAGGTGCGTTCACATGAACTGAATTACTCTGGTATTGTTGGGGTCACTGAAGCACATGCATGCGTACCGGAGTGGATGAACATGTGCTTGCTGTAGTTCTTGCGGGAGCGCAGTGACTTTCCGCAGTGGCTGCAGTCGAAGGACGTCTCGGAGCCCTGCGGACAAAGAAGGACGGCTGCTGTGATTCGCTAGAAGGAAACTGGAACAGCATCTGAGGACACAGACAGACAGACAGATGTTAACAGAGCACAGAGACGCGCTTCGTTTAACCGCGACGAGGCCCGTCAGACCTGGCTGCTGAGGCTCTGGGAGGGTGGCGGTGGAGGAGAGAGGGGCTTGCTGACCCGGCCGCGAGAGTTTGAGCCCAGAGACGCCTGCGGATCCGCCTGAGACCAGAAGCCACCCGAGAACACGGCAGAGTCCTCGAAGAACCCGCCCTGAAACACACACACACTCGTGTCACAGCTGTGTCTCGTCCTAGATAGGACACATCGTCTGCAGGACAGTGTACAGAGTAGGGTAGTACAGTCACATTTAAGAACATGTCTCTGAAATGGTTTTCAAAAAAACTGTCCTGGAGCCCAGCACTGTCTCACTCATCTAACACACCTGATTTAACTCGTCAGCTTGTGTTTATTTTAGCACTTCAGTCAGTGAATACGCAGCTGCAAAACACTAAAAATATCAAAGAAATTATACAGTTAAACAAGAAAGTAGCCTAAATAAGAAAGTGACCCTGTCTACAGGACGCGAGCTGCGCGACAAAATACTATAGAACTCATTATAATCAGTGATGCTACACTGGATGCGGCACGACACGACATGACAAATCCCCGACAGTAAACTGCCTTGTTCTGTTTATGAGGTACTGACACAGAGTCCAAATGTCCTGTAGACACTAGACAGACTCAACCTGTTGCGACGCGGCGGTGTCGCGTCCGGTGTAGACACGGTTCACTGTTCCGCTACTGTTATTACTGTTAGTACACTTGTATACAAAACTTCATATTATGCTTGTTATAGAGTGCGTGACGTCACGTGCACTACCACCGGTGGCAGAAGACAACCGTCACAGCCCTAGTACAGAGTGCCCTCTACTGACAGTCCAGCAGAAGCAGAGCGCATCACGTTTACGGCCTCAGCACACACTCACGCCTCTCTCTGGAGGAAAGGGGTTTCTGAGCTGAATATTAGGAGAGTTGAAAATAGTAAAAAGAAAAACAATTACGATTTGTGGCTGTAATCGTATTACTTTATTTGCTGTTTGAGAAGTTCTGATGTGCTTCCAACAAAACCTTTTACAGAGGTGAAGAAGAGCAAAACATCAGATTTGAGGCAAACGCGGCTGTACTCATGAACCTATCGAGCTAAATATGATGTTAAAGTGCTGCAAATTACAGGCTTCTTCCATGTCAACCGTGAAGGTGAGGAGTACTGTACACCAATTTAATAAAAACTATATGCTTTTCTTGACAAAAACAAACAAAAATGGCATCACTTACAATAATGTTGTGTCCATTAGCATCAGTAAACACAAACAGTAACATAAGCAATCAATGAACAATAAAAATTTAGTTTAAAGGGGTCATACGATGCGATTTCAATTGTTCCTTTCTCTTTGGAGTGTTACAAGCTCTTGGTGCATAAAGAAGATCTGTAAAGTTGCAAAGACTAAAGTCTCAAATCCAAAGAGATATTCTTTATAAAAGTTAAGAGTCAGCCACACCTACCTAAAACACCTCGTTCCAACACGCCCCCACATGTCTACATCACTGTCGAGACGCGTCGTGGATGCGCACCGTCACGTCACAGAACAGACCTTTACGCCGCTGAGACCTCAGGGCCTCCAGCACCGACTGACTGGAGTTATGCAAGTGGATGTAGTGAACGGCCTCCGAACCCGACGCCATGACCCGACCGAACACTCTGTGACACTGAGAACACACACACAGAGACACACACACACACAGACACACACACACACACAGAGACAGACAGAGACACACACACACAGAGACACACACAGAGAGAGAGAGAGAGAGAGATATACACACACACACACACACCTTCAAGATCATATAACACTTAAACTCATATGTGCAACTGAAACTCTACTGTTTGTCACATTTAATGAACACAATATGAATGCAGAATTAACCTTTTGCTCCTTTGTGCTCGACATGTTTATTGTTTAGCCTGACATCTATAGTGCTGCTGTAAGCTCACCTGCTGATGCGTTTAAAGTGCACTGACACTGATCATTACTGCTTTAATATCGATCTCGGTTTTATTTGCGAAGATTCGGGACGGCAAGAAGCTGCTCTGCGCTCACGGGCCCGATATCGGCAAACAACCCGTCAAAATAAAAGCCTTGAACATCAGAAAGCAGCCCGTCAAAATAAAAGCCTTGAACATCAGAAAGCAGCCCGTCAAAATAAAAGCCTTGAACATCAGAAAGCAGCCCGTCAAAATAAAAGCCTTGAACATCAGAAAGCAGCCCGCCAAAATAAAAGCCTTGAACATCAGAAAGCAGCAAGTCAAAATAAAAGCCTTGAACATCAGCAAACAACCCGTCAAAATAAAAGCCTTGAACATCAGAAAGCAGCCCGTCAAAATAAAAGCCTTGAACATCAGAAAGCAGCCCGTCAAAATAAAAGCCTTGAACATCAGAAAGCAGCCCGTCAAAATAAAAGCCTTGAACATCAGAAAGCAGCCCGTCAAAATAAAATCCTTGAACATCAGACAGCAGCCCGTCAAAATAAAAGCCTTGAACAGCAGACAGCAGCCCGTCAAAATAAAATCCTTGAACAGCAGACAGCAGCCCGTCAAAATAAAAGCCTTAAACATCAGACAGCAAAATTAAATCCTTGAACATCAGAAAGCAGCCTGTCAAAATAAAAGCCTTGAACAGCAGACAGCAGCCCGTCAAAATAGAAGCCTCGAACAGCAGACAGCAGCCCGCCAAAATAAAAGCCTTGAACAGCAGACAGCAGCCCGTCAAAATAAAATCCTTGAACAGCAGACAGCAGCTCGTCAAAATAAAAGCCTTGAACATCAACAGTGTGTGACTAAATTAGTAGAGTGGTGTGACAACAATGATCTTGTTATTAATATAAGTAAAACAGAAGAGATTATATTCGGGTCTACATCTGATACTTATATAACGCCTGTTTTTATTTATAATGGAAAAATCAGACAGGTTAAAGCATACAAGTATTTAGGAGTGATGATTGACGATATGTTATCATGGAAAGATCATATTGATGCTCTCTGTAAAAGGACAAAGCAGAGAATCTACTTTCTTCGTCGTCTTAGGTCATTCGGAGTAAGAAGGCAGATTCTTCTGTTGTTCTTTATGTCTGTGATAATGAGTGTACTGCAATACTGCAACTCCATTTGGTATAGGAGTTTGTCTGTTATGCTAAAAACAAAGCTGTTCAATCAATTAAAAATTTGCTCAAGGATTGTAGGTCAGCCCCTTGAGAAGCTCTATGATTCCGCTTATTATAATAATTTGTTAGGACTGGCTAACAAGATAGTTTCTGATCCTAATCATGTTCTGCATAATGAGTTTGAATTATTACCATCAAACCGGAGGTACAGAGTCCCAAGATTCAACAAAGTTAGGCTGAAACATTCTTTTGTGCATCAGGCGATCCTGGAGCTGAATAAGACACTTAATCAAAAATCAAGAGTAATGTGAACATGGTGTAGTTGTAGAAGTGTAGTAGGAGGGTAAGGCATAATGTAATGTTTAAGGGAGTGTAATGTATATTGTGTTTTGTTTGTGTGTGGATGAAGTGCATGTTGTTGTTTAAAGGATGCTGATTGTTGTAAACACAGATACTGTCATGCAAGAAAAATTTCAGACTCGTCTGACAATAAAGTGTTATATCATATCATATATCATAATCAAATTTTTTGTTCCAGATTTTTACTAAAATAAAATATATGTAAATATATATATAAAAAAAAATTGTTTAAAAAAAAAAAAAATATATATATATATATATA